AAACTGCAGTATGTCTAAACACTGTGTTTTTTGGGTCTCCATTTACTTGACTCCTTACCTTAGTCCGTGCCTATCCGTCAAATTTCATTCTAAAACTCTTTCGTTTGACTTACCATAGTGTATCCTAATGATCTTGAGGCGATGAATGCGTTGGATCAGGGCCATTAGAAAGGAAGTTGGCATGATGAATTGTGGATGTGCGACTAATTATAGTTTCCTAAGTCTGTAGGCCATATTTGATTGGACGTCGATGTTGATCTCAATGTTTTCATTTATCCTATGGGTTGTGTCAAAAGAGAAATTTTTGGCTTTGTAAAGTCTCAATTTGATCTGATTGTGCTTCCAAGTTTTGAGTCTAAAATGAATGAACTAAAAGGTAGGGTGAAGGGGCCAAGCAAAAATTGGGTGATAATAATGGTAATAGAAGAAAATGTTACTTAAGCAATTTCTTGAGAAAACAAAATGGGGTAAATTCAATTACCCGAATAAGTAACTTACCAATATGGGCTAGGTTAAAAGTCTGGATATCTAATGGTAGCAAGCTGCACATCTCAAACGTGTTGGTAGCATATCTAGTGTCAAAGTTTAAATGGTTATTTTTCATGCTTCACAAGTTTCACTATTTTAAGGCAATTAGTTAAAAATGTCAATGGATTCTAAAAGTTTAATAAGTGTTGTGATTATTCTAGATTTGGATGTAAGAACTTGTATCCAATTAATAATTAGATCCAGTGTAGATTTAACTCCATCCAATCTTATTAAAATCTAAATCCAATATGTAAATAGTTTTTAGATATTGAATCCAATCCAAATCCCATATTATCATATTTTGAATTGGATTATAATTGGGTCGAATCCAAGCTGATTGTAGCCCTACTATTTAGTGTATTGATCAAGCATGTAATAATTTGTATTACAGGGGCTACCTGTAGGACAAGGTTATTTAGAATCTGAAAGGAATGGACGATGTTATATTATTGTTCCTAAAATGTTAAAAGGATTTGGCTCGACGCTTTCCTAGAATCTAAAGGATTTTCTCCAAGACCATGGGTAGCATTTTCTTCTCTAGTTGTGATGGAGACGAACTATGTGATCTGTAGACATAGACAACGTGGGTTTCTCGTAGGGGTGGATTCGAGCCGAGCCGAGCTGAATAGTACCAGTCTTGAGCTCAACTCAAGACTATTCTACAAGGCTCGAGCTCGAGCTCGTGCTCGATTTTGAGAAAAAAAATTTATATAATTTTTTATTTGATATTTAAAAAAAAATAAGAATTATAATATTTTTATTATATATTATATGTATATATTAAATATTAAATATATATATATATATATATATATCCGAGCCGGCTCACGAGCCTCACGAGCCGAGCTCTAGCATGCTTGAGCTCGGCTCGTTTAGTAATCGAGCCAATGAATTGGGCTCGAGCTCTAAAACCGAGCCAAGCTGAGCTTGAGCAGCTCGTGAAAAGCTCGGCTCATTGCCACCCCTAGTTTCTTGCATGGCCATCCCTCAATGAAATCGGCCACATTGGTTTCATCTATATAGGAAGTCTATAAATTTTTTCATTTTTTTAACTTTTTAATTTTTTTTTAATTCATGTCATTTCTGAAACTACCAATTAGAAACTCTACTTTACCAAAAATAAAATCTTCCTAAAATATCCCCCCCCCCACACACACACACACTTTCCAATAACCTAAATAATCTAATATCCTAAAACTTCTCCTAAACAACCTCCCCCATTATCCCCAACTTTCTCCTAAGTTATCTCTAATTTATTAGAGAGTTTCTCTCCTAAATTATCTCTAATTCTTATTTATCTTCGACCCCACTTTTTATCTACATATATCTAAAGAAAGTTTGAATTAAAAAATTTAAGATTTATTTAAATATTGTAACAAAATTATATAATAACTTGAAAATATTTATTAAAAAGACAAAAAATAATTATAATCAATTTAATAATATTCATATTATTAAAAATTATATATTTTTACAAAATTCTTTACAAACAATATAAATTAGGATTTTCTGGATTATTCAATCTAAATGTTATTCAAATAATAAAAATCTAACACTAAAAATGAAATATTATTTAAATATTTCAATAACTAAATATCTTAAATAACAAAATATTAAGATTAATATTTTAAATCAATTAATAAGATATTTTAAGTAGTTACTAAATAACTTTCAATTATAATAAATAGATGAAGATTTTAAATATTTAGTTAAATAACTAAATATTTTAAACAATGAAACATTTAACTTAACTATATTTTAAATAGTTAAAATAACAAAATTATGTATTAATAGTACTATAATTTTATAGATTATTAAATTCAATAAGTAATTAATATTTTAAATTTTAAATACTGATATTATTTCAATAAATAAGTGATATTGTAAATAACTAATTTCAGTTATACCAATTAATAATTATAGAAAAAAACTTAAAAAAAATATTGTTTATTAATAATTATTTTAAAAAATTGATCTATATTTATTATATAATTATATATACTAAAATTAATATTTATTGTATTTCACTAGTTATTTATTATTTTTTGTGATATTATATTTTCAATAATTATGTATAAATCTATTTTTGTTTTGTTATTTAATAGAAATTTCTCGATAACTATTGGAGTTTAAACTACTATTATTTAGCTTTTTAAATTTAATTTTTTTTCTGTATTTTCGCTATAAATGTTTAATAATTATTGGAGATTAAACTATTGTTCATGGGTTGGTTCGATTCAATTGTATTTGGCCAACCAAATCCACCTAGTCAGGTTGGGGAGTTGGTCACTCAGATTATTTCAGTTTGTGTCAATTTTCGATTTGGTTGGTCAGTTCAAAAGATTTAAACTTAAAAAAATAAATTTAAAAATTAAGTTTAAATTAAAAAAATTACAATGCCATTATTAAAAAATAAGTTTAAAAATTAAATTTATGATATAAAATATTATAGCCTAAGAAATATTAGATTTTTCCCACTTTCTTGTATTAAAAAAATATTTAAAATATAAAGTATTAATATATATCTCTGGTCGGGTCGTTCTATTTTAGTTAGTTTACAAATGGCCAAAGCGAAACTGATCCAACCTAGTAGGGTTGGGAAATTGTTGAATCAAAGTTGACTGGAAATACTAAAAATCGGATTGGTCAATTTCATTAGTTTGATTAGGAATGGCAACAGGGCGAGGCGAGGACGATAAGCCCCTTCCCCTCCCTGTCCCCATGAAAATCCCCATCCACGTCCTCATCTCCATCCACGTTAATAAGGACAAAGTTATCCCCATCACTGTCTCCACAGGGATCCCCATCCCGGTGGGAATCTCCACTCCCCGTGATTCTCTATAATGTCAACGATTATGTTTTTGTTTATATTTTATTTAAAAAATAAAAATAAAATATTTAAAATTTACAATCCTATTAAAAAAGATTCAAAAATACTCAGCCATATTTTTTAAAAATTTTAACATATAGATATATCTGTACATATATACATATATATTAGCAGGGATCCTATGGGGCAGGGATTAAGGTCCCCGCGGGGCAAGGAATGCTCTCCCCGTCCCTGCACTATCCCCGCCAACGGGGATGAAAATTTCACTTTCTCAATCCTGGAAGGAATCATCCCCATCCCTATCCCATTTAGGTCAAATCCCCATAAAAATCAGAAAAATGAAGAAATTTGTCATCTATAAAATGTTAAATAATTTTATTTAAAATTACCTATTATTATTTTTGTATTGTAAAAAATTTATTAAAAATAATATATAAAATATAAATAATTATTAATTATTATACTCTTTATTTACTTTTAGCTTAACAAATCCCATGCAATCCCGCTAATTACAATGATATTAGGTGATGGGTCTGAATCGTCTGACGATGGAGGCCATTCAGCAACTGTTGATCGTAAGATACGCTCGTGAGCGATGGAGCGCTTGTTAGATTGGACGACGACTAAGCACAGTAATAAGGAGACAGGGGGACCCGCATTCCGATCAATTCAGCTACAGAACACATTCGATGGTAATCATCTTAGTGGGTCCGAAGCTCACGTTGGAAGTTGGAACATGGATACGTCGTCAAATAAGAACCTCGTGTTAAGAGTCCAATTCCCAAAACTCCGATAAATGTGGGATTTTGATCCCAACCACCGAGTTCACATCCCCGCCCCACAACGTCTCGCCTCACAACGCCCCACTCCGCCCCCACCAATCTATCTGCCACCTTAAAAGATTTTGAGCTTTCTTTTCTTGTGTCCCCACAACAAGAGATTACAATCCAATGGATCTTATAAACAGCATACTTCTGTATGCGTGTTCATACAGTCATACAGGAGGAGAAAGAAGCATTTAATGTATTGAGCTGGTCGGCCTCCAGGGTCCAAGGCCGTGGAGGAACCGGCATTGAGCTGGTCGGCCTGAGACGACCACCGACAATTTCATAACAAGAATCTTCTCCCGCATTCACAACTTCTCCTTCGTGATCTGATCAGCTGCCGGCAAGGGGAACTGATCTTGACACCTCATGACAAATACGTCTCCTACCCGGTCCCACGGTAAACTGCAGGACGCATTCTCACGAGTTACGACAAAGCCAACTGCCCCTAAAAACCATTTCTGTACTGGGTAACTAGGTACGGAGGAGGAGAACTCACGGTTTAACTTTTTAACTCACCCAGCGCAGATAAGGAGAGAGAGAGAGAGAGAGAGGTCACCACTCACCAAGGAATCGAAAGTTGGAAACTTAGGTATGAAAAGAGAAGATAAAAGAGAGAAACCATGGGAGGTACTTGGTACTACCAGTCTACGTCTTCCGAATTGGTCCTGTTTGCTTTGAGTTTTGACCCGCCCAAATGTCCATCCTCCCTCGTTGGACTATCATAATCGTTTAAGGGGGGAACCCACCTGGATAGTCAATGGAGTTCAGTTTCTGTTTAGCGAAACTGAACTCTGGTTAGGAACAACTATCAAACAAGTAGAACCCAGTTATTAGCAACCAACAACAAGCTCAATCTGGTATAGATTAAAAGATCACACAAGTCTTGACTCAACAGTGAGCATGATCCAAGCCCAATTCACAAGAAGCCATAAAAACAAAAAGCAGAAAAACTTTGATTCCACGACAAATATTAGTATCTGTTGCGGTATACACCACTAGAGCCAACAGAATCCCCACGATATGGCATTCCAAGCCTATCCAACCGCCCTGAACCAGGGTACGCTTTGCTGGTGAAGTTGGCGTGCAGAACCGAAGCCCTCTGTGAACTTGATCTGGAATCCCCCAAGCCAGGCCCATGAACAGAAAACCTTTTGGTCGAGCTAGACTTCTCAAACTCGGGCCGTTGCTTGGGTGCACTAAGGGATCTGACCTTGGCCTTGGATGATTCAGTATTTGCCATGTAATTAGGATAGTCACTGTACCCACTCAAGAAGCTTCTGGAGCAGTCACTCCTACTTGGCGTGAAGGGGCCTCTCCTGGCACTACCAGGCCGCGAAGACGCAGAAAGAAACTGAGGGCTGTTACTAGCACTGTCATCAACCTCGTAGGAGAACTTCAGAGGGCTCAAAGACTGTACTTCACCGGATGATGGGCTCGGAATCGACAGCTGAGCTGTGGCAGAGTCCTTTGACAGTGATTCCAATGTGGTGGTGAAGCTTTGACTGTTCCTATCTGAGGCCAAAGTGTGTATGTTATGCCTCCTTGAGTTCAGATGAGGTTTTCCGGTATCTATTTCAAGGATCTTGTCATTTTTCTCATCATCCGTCGGCCCATTTCTCAGAAAGGACCAATTTGGACCTCCGTGTGCTTTTTCATTGTTGTTTATGTCCCAGTTATTTGGCTTTGGGCTGTTCCTCTGTGCATGGCAAGAACTGAGGCAATAAGCATTTGGCTATATGTAATATACACAGAAGGATACACATAATACAGTAGTCCATACCCTGAGTGTCGAAGTCCGGTCATATCTGGTACTGCTGGCCCGGATTGAATGTTCATATTTCTCAGGGGTTGCAGGGCCCTGCAACAAGATGAGATAACAAATCATCCATGGTTTTTGTTTATATTTGATAAGAAAACTTTTGAAGAAAAACAAATACCAGAAAGGCAGAAAGTCCACCTCTTTCAACAATTTCAATCAAAAGTTAACAACAAAGGACCAATGGACCGATGATCTTCATCATTTCAGACCAGTGTGTCATCCATCACAAATGACTCAAATTCTTGCTAAATTCAGAGACAAATTACATTTATAATCCCAACCCACAACCCACGACGCAATATGCTTTTGTGGGGGCCTACTGTTATTCTGTTCATCCATCACTTCCACATTATAATAGACAAACGTTTTTAATCCATGACAGAGTACCAATAGCAGTATAGAGCTGTAAAGCATCTGAAGCGCCAAATATAAAACTACGAAGGAAGCCAGAAAAAGAAGAGCACTCAATGCAAAAAGCGGGAGAAGTAAAGCCTGCTTACAGGGTGGTGAGAGAGTGAGTGCTTGCTGTAGGTATGCCGAGTTTCAGAGCCAAGGACTCGACCCGCTCGAGCTCGTGCCTGGGCTCGTACCAGCGCCTGCAGACACCTTAACTGCTCTGCCATCCCCTTTCGAACAATGTGGCCCCTTACCAGCGCCTGAAGCTTCACCAGCCCCTTCAATGCCCGCAAAGCCCTCCTCGCCTTTACACCCAAACATCAAGTTCCAACAATTACCACCACCAACCCAATCAAAATCAAACACTGGAACTGAATCACACTGATCAAAGTTCATAAATTAAAGACTTTTTCTGATGGCGCGAAATCACGTCACCAGTATTGCTTTTGAGAAAAGAAATGCTTTGCCTCACTGAAAATTTTTTAAAAGCAAAGAAGCGCGTTGGGCGAAATCATTTACTCAACAACTCTTTAACATTGGAAAAGTCTGACATCCAGGAAGACAATGACATCTCATCTCGCACGCCGGCCCACACAGGAATTTTTTTTTAAAAAAAAAAGAAGAGGAAGCTAAGCACGAGATCAGACTAATTTCTCTACGTAATAAAATAAGCCAACTGGCAACCATTCCCAAAATGACATATATGCCCTCCTAAGGTCATGGTTTCACAAAGACACGTGTAATCCTGCTCTGTAAAATTGTAAATTCCATCCATTTACCTCCTAAAAACAGGTCAACTGATTCGTCTTGCATAGACGCATAGACTGTACTCTTAATTAAGCAGAGCGTTTCCAGTGTCCATTAACGGAGATTAGTAAGAAACTGGAGTTATGATCAGAAACAGAGTCAGATAACACCCATTCAGGAACCGAATTAAAACGGGAAAAGACGATTACCAAAACCATTTACTTTCGGATAACAAGAATTGACTTCTCTGATCTCTCTAATGGCGAAAAAACAAAAGTTACGGAAACAAAAAGCAGAAAAGGAGCTCCTCAGTCCCCCGGCCCCCCAAACATAGAAAGAAGGTAAAAGTTAAAGTTCAGGGGATCGGAAACCCTCTCTCAGACTATCTAACACGTTATTGCCTGGTGCTTTTGTCCAAGTTTTTCGAATCAAAACCACAATCGGACAGCAATAATGGCCATTACAAAGAAAAATGCTGGACTCCGAACACTGCATCCACAGACGAACCCTTATCCCGCTGTCTCAGATCTTTCAGTCGTAGAGAGCAATGGATAGCGTGTCGACCAGAAACAGACCCAAAACATGGAAAGAAGATACATGGAAAAATAGTGTGCCAATTTGCCCAAGGTTCGAAAAACGAAGAACGCGGCAAGGAAACACTCGTTTTAAAGAAATGCAGAATACCCGCGAAATCATGGAAAGAAGAAACGCTTTTATGGACAATGCGTGAAATTAGTAAACCAAAAGATTAAACCAGATTGAACTTGTCAAATGAAAGAATTGCCTAAGAGCAGAAACAGGTTCTCCGTAAGCTACTTCAGAGTCTTGTTTGAAGAATAGTGGTGAATTTTGGTTCTCTACTCGGCCAAAGCTAGCAGTTTTGCCCCCATTTGTTTTCTTTTCGTATTTATTCTGATTTCAAGACCGAAGACGAGAAAATCACGACCATTCGGCTCTGGAGATGGAGCATTGGCGTGATTTCGGAAAATTTCAAGAAACGTCTTAGTCGGAAAAAACAGAATGGAAGAAATGAATACTCACTAACCAGATAACCTCGAAAAGTTGCTTGAATCTTAACAGCAGCCCACACTTCTCTCCTCCCACTGTTGCTGCTAACGTACGCGGTGGCGCACCGCCCACTACTCGTCAATTTCACAACCGCGGCAGCGGCCTGGGCTGCGGCTACTGCGGCCTCAGCCACAGCAGCAGTTGCCGCGGCAACGGCTATAGCGTGTTTGTTCTGATCAACACCGTCCACGTACGAACACGAAGCTCCTTCCCTGTACGACCCCTTCCTTTCTCCCCCATTCACAGTCGCTGGCACAGCACGCTCCTTGTCCCTGAAAGATCTGACGAAACTCCACTTCTTCTTCTCCTTCGCCGGCTTTCCCCCTGACACACCGGCCCCGGCCGGCGGCTCTGCTTTCTTTCCCCCTAACAGTCCTCGAAACCACTTGGTGGTCTTCCCCATTCTCAATATCTAAAATCCGCCAGCGGTTTTGAGCACTGGTTTCGCTTTCGGATGTACAGGACCATGGCAGAGAGAGAAAGAAGAGGACGAAGTGTCTCTGCTGGAGACGGAGAAACGAAATATGAAATTATGAATAGAGAGAGAGAGAGAGAGGGAGAGAGAGAGATTAGAAACAAGATATTAGAAGGGAAAACCAGAAAATAATGACCGAATTTTTTTGCAGCACTATTAACACTAAAATAGTAATAAAATATAAAATTAGAAACAAATAAATAATAAAGAAATGATGATCGTTGTGGCAAATCTACGGTCGCGACGCAAGATAGGATGCTGTTCTCACCACAATTACACTATTACCCCTGTTTAAACTTGAAAAGTCTCTTGTTTCCTATGTGTGTGTGGTGAGAAGTGGGAACCGAGAATTACCTGACTTCATCCTCGTGATGTTGATGGACGGTCAAGATGATTGAGGCTATCATCATCATCGGTGTTAAAATCTCACAGAGACTTGAGTTAGTACTTGGTAGTAAGGTAGTTGGTACTATACAGAACATCTCCTTGTACCGTAGATGCATAGTAGTTGGTTACTTCTTGGTTTAGATCCGAACCTTCCGAATCCAAGGACCAAGATCTTCTAGTTTTGGATTCACAGAAATTTTTATGCAGGAGAGTCCATCACGGACGTGTATGAGATTGATGAAGATGATGGCCCCATCTGCCCCTCTCTCCCTCTCGCATCATTCTCGATGCTTGAGCATTTCATATGATATTTGTTTCTTCTCACTCACACGTCATTTTCTTTTGTACTATTCGATGTGATGACATGGTCATCGGCTTGGTTAACACGGACAAAAGGATGAGATTAGATTATTACAATCAAACGGCGGAGAACAAAACAAAATTTCTTTTAAAGGCATCAACAACTAACCAACTAACCACCCACCATCCCACCCCAAGGTCCCCAATCCATCCGGCGTCCGTGTCGGCGGCCCCACGTAACTTCTGGGTCCGGGCGCTTGCATATTCCTCCATCCTTATGATTGCTACACGTGTCAACTGGACCCACTAAGGATTCTTGACCAATTGAAGTCAAACACGAAACAAGCGAAGACACCATACAACGTGGCCTATACCCAAAGTAAAATGCAGACAGTCTATGCTGAGGAATAAGGATCATATATGATCGTATGGTTGATTCCTAGCTACAACATTAATGGGCTGGCTCTAATCCGATGTAACCGAACCAATTATACGAGTTGTGGTTCTGGGTTGGCCGGTTGGGACCGCTTTTCAGGCTATCAATGAGTCGGGTCTATCCAATGGACTCAAACCAACCGAACCGATTAGAATGGTTTTGATTCCATGATTTTGTCTTAATTAATAATTGAGTTGTTTTCAATTTTTGCTTTCTCATATAAATTTAGACCTGAAATCGATTATTTTATTAAATATATAATATTTTATTCATTTTTGTATAATTTTTATGGTATTTTATGTTTGAAAAGGTAAATTTGATAGATAATAAATAAGGTAATATTAATTATAAATGTTTAATTTAATTAACATATAAATAATTTAATATTTCTCTATCACTTTTATTAAGGTTATATTAACAAAATTTAAATTTTAAGTTATTATTCCTATAAAAAATACAGTTTTTAATACAATCCAGTCTATCAGGTCTAGACTATATAGACCAAACTATTAATCAAGAAGGTACGAGGTCTATGATTTTGTTCCGATGATTATAACTGGTTCTACCTGAATCTTACCTAGACATGACCCGTTGATAGCCCTATTCTTTTTTCTCTTCAAAATAAAGTAAATACCCAAACTAATTATGCAATCAATGATATATAAGGGTTTATTTTGTAATTATTTTCATATTTTATGTCTAAAAAGACAAATTTCATATAGGATATATGAATTTTAGTCGAAGCAAAAGTTATATTTTCAAAAATGAAATTATAAGCTGTTAGAATATAGATATTCATAAATGTCAAGTATAATCAGGGCTAATCAGGCCATACCCCAATTATCCGGTTTAGTTTTTTTTTTTTTATGTGTCATGATTTAATTGGATCGGGACTGCCCATTCCACAAGTCAGACCCAACCTATTAATAGCTTGGCGTTGCTCTTGACATAAATACATACAAAATAATATAAAATGCAAGAGATTATATTTTATAAATGGATACTTATACTCCTTTCAAATTCAGCCGATTGAAAAAAATACAAATACAAATATATATATATATATAATATAAAATGTAAAGTTTTGCAATCTACGTATTTATATTCATATTCCTTCCAAACTGAGTCTTTAGAATGGAATGTAGTTGAAAACAATTTGCTTCAGCATCCGGTGCAAGCAAGTGACATGAGGCTATATTGTCTTGCGTCATATTTATATGACAAATTAATATTGATAAATAAATAAATGACCCAAAAAATAAAAAAGGGGAAAATACATGTGAAAGGGTCTACAAAGGCGGCAGTCCACGGCTAACAGACCCAGCCAGTCTCCTCCCGAGTCCTGAGTGACATAACGCCACCTACTACGGTCTCAGTTTGGCCTACCAGCCGAACCAATCTTGAATATCCTACAAAATCCAGAGACGGCTAACCGAAATAAATTAAAGACTATAGAGCTTAGTGTCAGGGGAAGGCTGGCAAGAGTACTCGTTTAGCTGCTTCCCTTTTCTACCAAAAAATAAAGGTATAAGACTATAGACCCTAGGGTCCGACGATGATATTGAAAATCATATCATATCTAAAACCTGTAATGCTGTCACGTATACAGTAGTTACCAGGTTTATTTAAGTAATCAGTAATTGGCTTTTTATATGTTAATTAAAATTTAAAAGAGTTTTAACTTATTCGTTAATCGATTCTTATCTTCTTTCCGGTTCTCTCTTTTGGTCAAACTTTTTTTATGGAAATCGTAAATGCACTCAATCAACATCTAAGAGGTTATTCGTTTCCCTCACTCTCTATTACAGGTATATTATTCTTCTTCTTCTTCTGTTCGAATTTCTTCTCCCTCACAAGAGGTTATTCGTCTCCCTAACTCTTCTGGTCGAACTTCTTCAATCAAAAATCCGACAGTTGTTCCCTCTCCCTTCTCAGTCTATTGAGATGGTCCATATGTCTGTTAAATTACAAATTACTGAATTGTGGAAATGTGAAATAACTGTGAATACAGAAAATAATCCCCAAAATACATAAATGAATAACAACATCCCTGCCTGCAAGCCTTCTTGGTTGTTATTGATTGAACAATTTTGAAAGAGTAGCATCTAGAGCATAATAGGACTAGGAAGATACTTTTAATATATACTTCATTGATCTTTCAACCTTTTGGGAGATGAAGCACCAGAATGCCACCAGAGGAGTCCTATTATTATCACAGTAGATACAACTTGGCGCCTCTCTTTCAGACCTCTCCTTAAAAGAATTGAGCACTGCTGCCACCAAGATGCTCCCCAATCTCTCGAATGTGACCTTCCCTGTATCTCTGACTCACTATCAGCCATCATAAGTTTCAGAAGCTTCTGCTTCTCTATGTTTGAAATCCTTGTTTCATAAGCACCTACAAGATACTGCAGAGAAGGCATAATGCATATATATTTGAAGGAATTTCATGAAAAAGTAAAAGAATCAAATAAGCAGACATAAGATTAGCCTTATGATCAATTGATAACATATTGGACGTCCACAGGGGATGGCCTTCCATATTGTTTTTCAAGAAATTGGCTTCCAAGTAACATTTTATCCTCTAGAACATATGGGATTGATTTGTCATATATGTTCCCATTTGCAAGATCAATTAAGAACTCCGCTGGGTTCATAGCTATCAGAGGAGAGCAACCAATTGAAGATAAATATAACATAGCTTCAGAGGTTTTTCCGAAGTGCAATGAATTGCCTCTGCTCAAGAGAATTAACTTGTCGAACTTGTTGAATAGTCTGCTTGATGGTTGATGAATTGTACTCACTACTATTTTTCCAGCGTACAAAATCCCACACTGAAATTCAAGGAAGGGTGTTTTCTAAATTAAAGAAAATAAGAAATGCCGTGCTTTATTACCTTTGCAATATTGTGTATCATTTGAACTATTATGCTAAGAGTTGTAGTTGAGTCTAGACCAGAGGTTGGTTCATCTAGGAAAAGAAGTGATGAGTTGAGTAGGATTTCATTGCCAATGCTCTAACCATGGTGCTCGGATTATCATCTCCAAGGATGAAATGATTAGCTTTCAATTACTACATTAACAAAGGAACTCTAGGTAAGTAAGCACTCTACTTTAAGGATTAGCTCTCATTATGTCTTATACCAAAAGACCGAACAGTGTACCTAGCCTTTGAGAAAACGGGGGTGTGCCCACTCAACTGCTCCAACACCTTCGCGGCTTTGGTGAGATGATCTCCACCTTCACTTAGGAGATGTTGAGGACTAATTGTTGAACTTTGATCTCCCGCATTAGGTTCGAGAGCTTATTCTCTGAAGCCATTGCTCTCCGCATATGAGGTTACAAAGGCAACTGAGTAGGTTGATCGTTTACGGAGGGGAGTAGGGGGAGGGTGACATTTAACGGCGAACATTAATGTCTTTCTTATCTTTAAATGAATTTCTATTATCAAATGTGATTTTAAATGTTGTTTTTGAAACCGGTTACCTGCAATAACCCGCATTCACCGAAATAGAAAGTCGATTGTTAATTATTCCATCTCATCTGATATGATATGGAAAATGATAACATATATTTTCCCTAATACCCAACAATCGTAAAAGACCATAGGCGATGCATAGAACCTGCGCCAATTTGTTTACGTCCAAAAGCAAGGTTAATCTACTGATATTATCTTTTGATAGAAAATCAATATCTTGATGTACGCTTGGAGGAGAGGTGGTTGATCTCACACCCCTAACAAGGCAGCCCTACTTAATAGGGGTGAGTAAAAAAAATCAAAAAATCGAATTGATCGACAAAATCGATTGAAATTAAATTGAAAAATCGGTTAAATAGAATCGGTCATTTTGATTTTGATTCGGTGTTTAAAGAAAACAAAATCAAAGGTATTGGTTCAGTTTTGGCTAATCGATATAGAAAATTGATAGTTAACCGAACTGAATGGCAGACATATATTTCTATATATTTATGTATATTATATATTATAAATTATGGTTTTT